AAAAAATTAAAAATAAATAAATAAACAGTGTCATCTCAATCTTGATGATAAAATATGAAAATGAACACTGGCAGATTGAGAGGACTCTCCTCCACTGCTCTCAACAGTGAACCATCACTTACTGTTTGACATTCTCTCATCCATCTCCATGACTGTCGTGGTTCACTTTGCTTTACCAGATGTTTTAGTAACTACAGCTTTGTAAAGCTATTCTCTCGTTGGTGTCATTGGAAGCGGCAATATATTATCATAAATATGTTCTGCTAATTTGAATGAGTTTTTGTGTTTATTTGATAGGGACGATGTATGTTAACATAGTTTCAATGCAAAGGATTAAATATGAAATCGAGTTATGTGCTACTGCAAATTTTTAACTATCCCTAGTTGGGATTTTACATACACAATATAAATAAAACACACATAAAGTACACTGAAAGAACAAAATACATAATTAAGTCCTGAACTTAATCATGTGAAGCTCTGTTTTTTCACTCTCGGCTGACATTTTTGTGAATAATCTTGCCAACAAATGGCGCTTAGGTGATATATTTATCTACCAATTTGGGCATTTTTAAGTTTCTGCACATCTTCCCAACATGCAACTCCACAAGAAAGCTTTCCACAGTTAATAAGAGTTGGATGAATCTCACTCAGAACAGTCATTTTGACAAGCCGTACCACGGGGACTCAGTGTGCGTCTTTTAATTGCTCCGCCACCCTCGACTATATTTAAAGACGCAGTTTCTTCTGCTCTTTGGATTTGTGTGCACCAGCAAAAAACACAGAGTAGAGACACATCTGACCGTCTAGCAACACACCTAAGTGTATTTCTTTGCAATACAATAACGCTACAGTACACCAGATACTGCAGTGTATAAATAAACCGCTTTCCTAGCTGTGAACTCACACTGAAGGCTTTCAGTGCTGAAAAATGAAACCAATTTTCAGCACAATTAGATCGCAAGCTTCAAGTACTCCTTGTTTGTCCATCACTGCCGATACAGATCTCCTCCCCCCTCCTATGCCTCAGACTACTACTAGATCGCAGGTACTGAACTGCCGCTTGGGTGCTTTGAGGACAGGTAGGTCAGTCGCCTAATTAACCCCTGCTGAGGTGAGAGGTAAATGACAGAGTTAGATCTTTACAGCTACGAGCGAGGCAGAGCCGACGTGTAGTGCAGCTTTCAGTGTCTAATTTTTGTTTCAAAGCAAGATGCATCTTTTTCTATTCAGACAAGAGAATTTGTATTTTTGTCAGACATCCCTTTGCCTCCTCCCTTTGGATTCAGTGTGTCACTTCTCACCAGTTGAGTGAGTTTAAAATGACAAACAAGGAAGACTACGACAAGCTGTGACAGGACTTAGTTGTATTATTGTGTTGTAAATGATGACAGATACGACGGAAAGTGAATAAAAATCCTCTTGACAGCTTTATTTTCTGTGTTAATAGAATCAGTAATCAGTTTTTTTAAATATAATTTTTTAGATTTTTAGATTTTATTCTACTTTCTGGATTGTCACTGCTTTGGTTTGCCATCGCCTTACACTAAAACACTGTTGGGAGCAGTTTTTCAGAGACCTTGTGCTTTTTGAACCTTTCAATTTGGAACGTTGACTCTCAGATGGCAAAAAGGATGCCCCCAGCAATTTAAACCTCCAGAAAATGATCATAATTAAAACTGTAGCCTAAGTTTATGTGTAAATAGCCCTTTAAATAGAACTGAAAAAATGATGTCAATCAATTATTTTGAGATGTTTAACATTGAAGGGGGTCAAACTGACCCCAAGATAATAGGAGGGTTAATGTAACTTGAGTACATTTGGTTACTTTACTCGAGTCCATGTAGCATTAATATCATTCAAGCAGTTTGTAATCTTTTATTTTCTTAATCTCACCCCATTATTCCTTCAGATATACTTCAGGGTTATTCAAAAGCCAACTTACAACCACATTAAATACAACATGCTGCAACCTGACAGCTACCATAGTTATATTTATGAGCAATGTAATACTTCTGTGGGATGTACCTTCCTCTTCTTCCACTGTCTTCACTAGACTGTGTGTAAGTGTTGCGTTAATATGAGCGTGTGTCATCTCGCATGAGTGTGCGCGGCGGCGATGTCACCCGCTCCTTCATATGTAGTTCGTGTCATCGCTGCTATCGCCGTGTGACTGCAGGAGCTTACGGCGACAGCTGTTCTCTGCTACAGCGACTGTAGCGACTGCATCGCGTTTCTGTCTCACCTCGTGCCCCGTTCTGCTGAACCCACGTCAGACATCGTCGAGGGAGTGGTGATTTTGGAAAGGGCCGAAAGAGAATAATTAAATCTTCAGCTGCGCGCATAAGCTATTAGTAATTCAAGGTTTAAGCATCTCTTTAAATATTGACATTCATCTGTAGCCTCGAAACCCCTTCTCACTGAGCAGCCAAAAAGATCATTAATCGAAACACATTACATGCCCAGCACAGCTACACATAATTATATTGAAATAACTAATGACCTTGTTGCATCTCCTGAAATGAACCCAACCACTAAAACACTCAGAACTAACATGTTCAGTTAGAAAGAATCAAAAGTGCAAAGCAACTAAAAATGAAAGCTTTGTTTTACTGCAGATAATTAGACATGTGTGTGTGTGCAGTGATGCACTGGGATAGTTTGACTAATGTCCCATCATAGGGTCATATTTCTTTAAATGATGCTGAAATTGAGCACTAATGTTCCAAGACAAGTGATCCATTATAATCTATAGGTGCCAGAACATGTAAAGGACATGCAACCACACAACATGTACGGACATTAAAAGTGTTGTTTAGTGGTTTTCACTGCAAATTGTAGCATCACTCTCTTTAATGCAGACTTTCCATTCTGGTAACCTTGCATATATCCTTAATAAATGAGTGGCAACTACGGTGCTAACGCAATATTTTATGCCACTTTTGTGCTTTGTGATTAGCGAAAAAGCAGCAGGGTCACACACAAACATATTCAAATACACAGGAGGTAAAGCAGAAAAGAGATGGAGAGAGGGAGAAAAAAGCCAACCAGACTGAACAAAACCAGACTTAACTGGCAAGACCAGCAGCCAATTCCAAGACAAGACGTCAAAGAAAAATATACACAGACTAGCCACAATATAGGTAGGTTCCCCTCGTGCCACCAAAATACAGTAGCTCTGATCTATTGGGGCATCGATACAGGACCTCCAATCTTTTAGTTTCTGTGGACTGCAGGACAGAGCTTCCATGGATAGAGCCTGTTTTGGTTCCCACAGATGTTCGACCAGATCTAGAGATTTTGTAGGTCAATGCATTGGGCTCTTAGTCATGTTTCTCAAGTCAGTCTTGAGCAATTTTTGCAGTGTGAAGGGACGCAATGTCTTGCTGCAGGAGGCCACTGGAGGTGGTGGTATGAACTAGGTTTGCAACAATACTGAGGTGGTTGGTACATGTCAAAGTAATAACCCCGTGTATGCCACAACCAAAGATTTCCCAGCAAAACATAGCATTGGAAGAAGATGACGAATGTTATTCACGACTCCTGTCAGTGTTTTCATGTTGTGGCCAATTGGTGTACATTAAAAAATATATATATATATATTTCAGGAAGCACTTAAACATCCAGTGGCTTGTAACAATTAAATGCATCGTTACAAGTTGTTTTCTCTTTCCGAAACTGATGAACTTGTTTATTATGTGGGCGTCAACGTGACAGTAACACTCAACAGGCCATCATTAATCAAAACTGCTATCGTTAACCAAACATTTTAAAAAGCTGCATTAGTTTCTGTGATATTTTGTTAATATTTCCCTTGCAAGTAATTTCTGATAGAAGTTTCCACAAAAGGATTGTGTAATTATAACCCTTCTCACAGCAAACACTGACATAAAGTACAGACTTGGAAAAGAACCGTTTCTCATTTGTCTTTCTAAGAAAATATAAAACATGCAAATAATACAGTAGTTTGACAGAAAAAGGAATGAAGTTCAGAGTAATGTCTCCATTCATCCAATTATAAGTTCAGATCTCTGCAACTGCATGTTTTCTCGACAAATTAAACATTTTTCACGATCTTAAAATTGACCTTTTCTTTCTCTCACTGTTGTCGTTCTGAATTTCTCTAATGAGGTATTTGGCCACTTACAGCTCTTACTCTGCTCTGATTGGCTTTAAGCTGCATTGGTTGTCTTGCAAGAAGGCTCGGTAACATGCGAAGGTTTCCAAAGCTACAGGTAAGTCCAGCAAAAAAAAAAGCTCCTTATTGATTTATCGTCCAAGAAACATTTTGCCTTCACTTGGCCCGGACTAATTTTCTCTGCCGTGTTTTCTATTCATCAACCAGCATTTGCTCTCTGCGGCAATTATGCAATTAATTAAGCCGCACAAAAGATATGTACAGGCAGAATTGAACAAAGGACAACCTTGTTTATTGCTGCAACAACTATTTACACCTCAGGTAACGTTCAGATGTTTCTAAAGACTTCTCAGGAGGAGAATCATTGCCCTCGATATGACTGTTACTGTAACTCTTTAGCAGGCAGCCGTTTTGTTTCATCTTGTCCATTTTCTGCTATTGTGCTGTAAAATATATGCATGTACCGAATGTTAAATTACTCAAGGTTTCAGTCTGGAGAGCACAGCAAAGCTATTATGTATTGCCGTTACAGTATTATACTTATGCACTGACCTTCCCTTCAGGGATACACATGCAGGCTTGTTCCTACAGTGTGTGCATCAGCCTGATAAAGTGGTTCTACATGTGTTACCGTATATGAGTCATTTCTGTACTCTTAAAACCATACCATCCTCTATTATTCATTACCACCTTATTCCCACCTCATCAGTGCGTTATGATGTGGAAAGTCTTCGAAAAACTCCCCAAGAACAGACGCAAACAGCCACAACCCTGCGAGCAGCACCTGCTGCATTCCATACTGATGGATTCCACAAAACCAAACAACACTATGCATCTGAAAGTTTGTACGTCGGTTTCTTACCAGCAGGGGCATGGCCAGGTCAGCGAAGTAAACAAAGGCCGCCCCGAGCGTGAATCCCACAGCAACGGGCACGAAAGCAAATGAGCCGTACTTCCCCGACTCCTCGGCCATGTCGATCGCCGGCGCCAGCAGCGACCAATACGAAGCAGCCAGCATCACCTGAGACACACAAGGAAGAAAAAGACAATTAGATGTTTGGAGTGAAGTCCCAGCATAAAAACAGGTTGTGTTTCTTTTGCAGATCTGCAGTATCAAAGCAGACTTTAGACATACAGCAATCTAATCTGTCGTCTTTAATTATCATTATGAACAACAGAGCGGTAACTGTAAACAAGTGACTTTAAATATACTGTAAGTGCAAAGAATGAGGCAGCTTAAAAGTGAAGAATGTATTGGATTACCAGATTGATAGATGTATAGCAAGCACAGATTACAAGTAATGGGGATTATGTAATCAGATTACAAAAAATTATAATTAAAATTTGAAAAAAACGTGCAATTAAATTAAAGTTACATTTTGTCATGAAAAATGTGAAAATAATAAAATTATGAATACTTTCTGTGACATCTGTTAGTGTTGACAATGTAAAATGCTGTTAAAAATATTTCGAGATGAAGATGAAGAAGATTTGTGGAGTTCATTTTTTTTAACATGAGCACAATATTTTCAGATTAGGTCAACTTTTTTTGTAATTCAATTGATTACGTTGTTAATGACCAAAATCGCCACATCGTTTGTATTAACTGCAGTAACTAATTACATTTCAAAGTATATGACCCAAAACTGAACAGCCATTAGTTCTTAAAAACCCCTCATATGAACCAAATTATTGTCTGGAAGTTGCACGTACAAGTAGTTCTTCATTTTCTCTCTGATAAGAGTGTTGATATTTGTATTTAATGATGTATTTTTAGCGGAAGATCCTGGGTATAGCTAGTTAATATGGTTGTGGGAAATGGTGCTGATTGCCAAAAGCAGAATAATGGGTGATATGAGACAACATGGCTTAAATGTCTGGTGCCTGCTCGTTTGCTGTTGAGTCTAGAAAACAAGCCTGGAGACTTTTTTTTTTGTTGTTATTCTTGTTTTTGCTCCAAATGTCAGACGCCCAAAAGGAGCTCCTCTAATTGGCTGGAAGTTCTTTAAGGTCTGAACAGTACCCATTTCTGGCTCTACAGTCACTTTAACTCCACATTTCACAGAGATATATCAGGCAAAAAGTAAGAGCACACAGCAACTTCGTGAGCAAAGAAAACAGCAGTTGAGGCTCAGATTAAAGCAGTTATTGGCTCGTGTTGGCGACACTAGAATAGCAAGAAAATAAACTGCATTTGTGAGAAAGTGCTCGACGTGTGAGCGGCTCTGGTTGCATGAACTCGCATACAAAATGTTGAGTTTATTTGTGGTTTGCAGAATGGGATTTGTAAACTTGCGATGAAGAATTCATCGTGTAACTGCTGTGTGCTTGTGTTAAATAGACAAAAAAAAAAGTTTGTAAAATTTTTCTCAGTGACTTCGATACACAAGTGGCTATTTTCATTCAATATTACCTTCAAATAAGACTGTTTTCATTAGTGTCACATCCCCCTTGACTGCCATCCATCTTAAGTCGTAAACTGTTTCCTTCTGCATCTGACTCCATGTCAATCCATCTCTACTTATGATGACACTTTGTTGGTAGTGGTTTTCACATTCTTTAATACAACTATTGGCACTTTGCATTTGTAATGTAATGCTTGTCTGCTGATTTCCAACAGCAGGATGCTCAACAGTGCCAATTTCTTATTTTTACACTTAAGCAAATGGGGCTGAACAACGAATCCTACATAGCAATTTGAGACAAGACGAACAAATCACTTGAAAGCACTTGTATTCATTAGGGGCGGCATTCATCGAGTGATAACAAGCAACCCCCAAGTTTTAAGCAAGTGTGGTGAAAGTTGAACAAACTTGAAAGTTGCATTTTAGGAGCAGAAGGTCTACTTTTTCCCAGACGTCGCTGATAACAGGAAGTTCTCAGATTAACGTAATCTGATGTCAGTGAAGGCTGAGTCTTAAAAAACAACTATGATAAGCCTTTCTGGCTTTAAATAACATGTTTAGTTTTGTGCTGCCAATAAACATTGGTGTTTACTGCACTCAAAACTAAGAGATTAAGTCTGTTAAAGGTTCCCAAGTTTGCGTAGGTGCATGTGCGTCCACGTTCGGCTGCGTGCAGAGCGGCTTTGTGTGCAAGTGTCCAGTGTATTCGCTATCTTCTTAGGTAATTTACCCTGAAAGTATCTTTCACTTCAAAGCATAGTCTGTTTGCATTAGTTGTCAAAGTCCAAACAGAGAGGGGAAGGTTTGGAGTCTCTGAACGCACCAACGTGCCTTTTCAAGCTCCATGTGTGGACACAAAGCATCTGCAGCCTCTGTTGTTTATCACTGAGAAGTTGCCCATTTTTATTCTGTTTGGGTTCTCGCAGCTCCTCTCGTAGCAGTTTCCTGACACTATATCAGTGCTGGAAATGTGAAACACGAGCCCGCAGTCAGTCCTGCCAATCAAAAGTAATGGAAGCGTGTTGTTAGAGCGTAAGTCATCTTCGGCACTCCAAAACAATTCGCCGCCAGCATCGAACCCAGTCAGCTGTGTGCAACAATGCAAAAAAAGTTGATTGCAACTCATTTCGGATGGAACTCCACGGTTTTATTTTGGTCTTATTTGTGCGGAATTGTCAAAGCTTGGCAGTAATCACCGTTGGAGACAAATGATCTCTCCTTTACTTTTCCATAATGGTGTCGTCCTGTTTTTCATCTGCAGTATAACCAGTGTTACCCTCCCCAGCAGAATATTTCAGCTATTTGGTCCAGTGTAGTTTCACAAAGCTTTCAAGCTGGCAGGAAAAAAACAATCTACACTTACTTTTACGGTTTATATGTTATGAATGTCACATATTCTGAGTGCATCTGCTTTCAGACTTAATCCCCTGTTTGGTTCACAAAGCAGCAACCACAGAGAGGGAACGGGATTATGTGGATAGAAGCAGAAAGCCAGATTAAAAAGAATATGAACTTTATTTCTTTGTGTTTATGGCAAGTGAAGTAAGACAGACATCAAAGAGATACCAGACAGAAACTCCAGTGTGTCTCAACCTGCCGTATTTCTGAATAATGTGGCTATCGTGGCTCTGTGGGTCATGCTAATTTTGCACTCTTCACCTCCAAAGCAGATTTTCAAAGAAACAAAGAGTGCCATGAAAACAGTAGGGAAGTTAGCATGAGCTCTATTCAACGAAGGCCAGTTTTTGCATGAATCCTTTTAAATGTGTTTTCAGTCAAACCACAGATACAAAAAAAGAAAGAAAAGAAAAGTAAAACAGAATAGCTACCTGGAATAAAGATTTTTCTACCTTTTTTCCATCTAGCGATACTTGGCAGCTTAACAAATCATCGGTATGCGTTTGTTTACATATGTAAGGTTGATTTTCATTGTCAGGATAGAGGAAGAAGTACGATGGAAAAACAACGTAGCTCTTGACACTCTTGAAATCTCTATCTGCTTGGATCAGAGTCACCTCAGCTGTGGAACTACAATTAATAAACCTGCAGCTTAGTGATTTGACTCCAAAGTCAACAGGAAGACTAAACTCCCCACACGGTATATAAATGCTAAGACAGTTACAAAATGGTCTGTTACAGGCATCTGAATTCTGTTTACCTCCAATCAAACTTCCACAATCTCTCAAAAGGAGGCCAAGCATCGGGCTGACCCTTAGAGCTCAATAGCAATCAATGGGAATTACGCAAGATCCAATCCAATCAGTGATGCAAACAGACCCGCTGTATTGATGTTACTCAGCTGAGTCCAACCGGATCGATTCCAAACTTCAAACTCATATCTCAATATCAATCGTATTGAATAAAACACGTCCAGTCGGTGTTGAGCAAACTCGCTTCATCCTGGTAGCTGCTCCATCTGCTCTCCTCTGGTTGTGCAGTGACGTTTTTTTTCCTCCCACATCCCCACCTGACTGTGACTGTCTGCAGTACTTCCCACTACTTATCCCAGCTTGTTAAATGTCAGGGTTTATTTCACAATGCTACACCGCTTCTCTCTAATTGAACACCCCAAAGTGAATGTACAATGTGACGGTCGATTAATAATTTTCACTTGAGCTGAATCACATCTTGACACATCTCATCGTGCGGTCGATGCCATTGATAGATGACGGTACATGTGGCCTTTGCAGAGTGGAGGTTCATATTATCGAACCTCTTTCACACTGTGTGGCCGGTTTCAAAATGTCACGCCACAACTTGTTTTAGACTGGTCCTTACAGGTTGGGCCAAGCTTAACCTGAGACTAGTCTACTGAAAGTTTTGCAAAAATAAAGACTAGTTTATTTTGAAGAACTCCTACCCCCTTATGTCTCCGGAAAGTTTAAAACTAAGAGACACAAAAACAGAAAAGAGCAAAACAATGGCTCATAGTTTGTGACTGGCAAACAATATTGTCCATCCATTATCTATACACCGCTTAATCCTCACTAGGGTCGCGGGGGGCTGGAGCCTATCCCAGCCGACTTAGGGCGAAGGCAGGGGACACCCTGGACAGGTCACCAGTCTATCACAGGGCCACACTTAGAGACAGACAACCAAGTACACTCACATTCACACCTACGGACAATTTAGAATCACCAATTAACCTCAAACGCGAACCGGCAACCTTCTTGCTGCGAGGCAACAGTGCTACCAATTGCGCCACCCTGCAGCCCTCCAAACAATATTGTGTAGAAGGAAATAAGATGGGTAACAGTTTTAAGATGGAGATCAGTACGGTGTAGTTTTGTCTTCAGTTTTTGACCTAGCACAACGCTGTGAAATGCGAAATTGAAAAAGTGAAAGTGACGTTTTTGCAGCGTTTGTGTAATATGGGTCAGTAGGCATCGAACAAAAACTACAGTAAACTGTGTAAGGGATAAAGTCACTAATTATCTGTCAGCAGGTTCTGGTAAAAGAAAGAAATGCAGCTCCAAAGTAGAAGCCTTGCTGTCAAACTGTCATTTTTAGTATGCGGGTAGTTTAATTCTAAAAAAAATACAGACACTTCATACTCCCTTTCTTTCTCATTCAGCGTAACTGATTGAGTGGCTGCTTTCGTTGGAGAAACCAACTA